TTCACGCCATTGACATACTCGTCAAAATAGCCCGCGCGGCCACTAGCGGAGAACGATGGAAAGGAGGTACCAAAGAGTACTGTGCGGTGGTGACGCTAGATGTCAAAAACGCTTTCAACACAGCTAATTGGTGTACAACTACTGTAGTGGTAGATGGCTTCAGGTCCAGACTGACGATGGAATCAAGCAGTACACGGTTACTTGTGGTGTTCCGCAAGGCTCTGTACTTGGTCCTGCATTGTGGAATGCGATGTACGATGGTGTACTAAAAGTCATCCTTCCAGAGAATTGCACAAGCGTGGCCTACGCTGATGACCTTGCAATCGTTGTCGTTGCGAAAACGATAGAGGAAATCACGGAGCGGTGCTCAGCAGCTGTTGACAAGGTAACCAGTTGGCTTTGTGAAAACGGACTGAAACTGGCGGTTCAAAAAACGGAAGCTGTGCTACTCAGTACTCGGGAAGTAACGGGAAGTCTTCTCGTTTCAAGCGGTGGTTTCGAAATTACATCGAAGTCATCCCTGCGGTACCTGGGTGTTCTCATAAATACCAGGATTACTTTTAGAGACCATCTAAGGGCGGTAAATGAGAAGGCGGCCAAAGTCACTGTTGCTCTGTCACGACTCTTGGCAAACACCTCGGGTATACGATCCACCAATCGTAAACTCCTGGCAAAAGTCACCAGCTCGGTAATATTGCATGCAGCTCCCATCTGGGCTTCTGCTATGCGAACGAGATCATACGCTGCAGGCGCAAAAAGCACGTACCGGCTAAGCGCGCTACGTGTAATCAGTGCTTTCCGCACTGTATCGGACAATGCTGCATGTGTTATAGCAGGCATGCCGCCGCTTGATCTGTTGGCCTACGAACTTCGAGATATCTGGCACAGTAGATTGCCGAAGGATGAGGCACGAAACATTTCCATGATTACATGGCAACAACGGTGGAAAGACTCGATGAAAGGGAGATGGACATATACCCTGATCCCAAATCTTGATGTGTGGGTACACAGGACGCATGGTGAGGTAGATTTCCATCTCACTCAGATCCTAACCGGACATGGAGTCTTTAAACAGTACCTTCATCGTTTCAAACACGAAGAAGATCAGTTTTGTCCTAGCTGTGAAGGGGTCGCGGAGGATGCAAGCCACGTTCTTTTCTCTTGTCCACGTTTTAATGAAGTCAGAGCAGAGATAAGTGAGGCTATGGGCGAGCCTATTTGCCCGGGAAATTTAATTTTGAAAATGCTTAACTCGCCGGATATTTGGCGATTGATATCGACCACTGCTGCTAGGATCATGACTCAACTTAGAGCCATTGAACGACGTCGTGCCAGCGAACGCGCCACAACTGAGGTCTCACCTCAAGAAATAGGACAGTTACGAACTCAGGACGCCTTTCTGACGTAATACCTAACGGTAGTTCCAGGAGGGAATCTCCGTCCGGACATAAGGACATGTTTTTAGCGGATTAAAGTTTCGCACTGACTTAGGCTTTCGATGCTTTTGAGTCCTCGTTAAAAAAAAAAAAAAAAAAAAATTTCGTCTCCGCACATTTGGGTGCATTTTTATTTTCAAGTCTGCACACAAAATGTGCTCCTCGTTTTCTTTTCTGCACACGTTGTGTGCGAGGGCAAGCTGGCTGCCTCACACACAATGTGCTGGGCGAAATAACTTCGGCACAAACACCGTATGTGCGTGCGAGTTTTATTTCACTCCACCACATTCGTGTGAAATGTGCGTTGTGTTTGTGCACACAATATGTTTTTTTTTTTTTTTTTCCATTAGGGGGGGAAT